CGCCCTCTAGTTTTCATTATTACCGTGGGAATATATTTGATATAAGCCAACTACATGCCTCCAGTTTTTTCTCACAGCCATCTCTCCTCCAGGGTGAAAAAGAAAACCCAGTGTACTTTCTTCCTTGTACATCATTACTATACTACAGTCCTGACGCTCGCTCGCTCGCTTGCTTGCTTGCTTGAGGTATTTTTGGTTTGTTTTTGTTTTTGTTTTTTTGGACAGGGTCTCACTATTAGTCCAGGCTGACCTTAAACTCATGATCCTCCTGCCTCAGCCCCTCAAGGGCCAGCATTACAGAAATGTACTACCATGCCCAGCTTTCTCCAATTTTTAAAAACTTATTTCCTCTGTATACAATAAATAGAGCAGAACAAGATCCATACAGACACAAAGTAGAAGTATGCCATAAAACAAAGCACTTTAAAAACAGAGTTTTTGGAGTACAGAATTTTTGGTAAAAAGAAGACCTAGCTTATTTATTAGATGGATGGAAATATATTTTTTGTTGTCTTGTTATTTACTTTTTCTTTTGAGAAAGGGTCTTACTATGTAGACCAGGCTAGCCTAGAACTCACTAAATAGCCTAGTCTAACTGTAAACTCTTGTTCTTCCTGTTTCTGCTGCCAAACTAGTAGAAATATAAACATACAACACCTTGCCTACCTTCCTCCCTTTGCCACTCCCACTTCCTCTGTTCTTCTGCTTGAGAAAAGTAAGGAGACAACGACTACTACAAGGTCCATGCAGTCACAGAGTACAAGTGTGCCATGAGAAATAACCAGGGTAGGTGGTTTAACTCATCTGCCAGTTTACTTGAGCAGTTTACTAGTTGGTAGCTCAGGACTTCCTTCCATTTGGTCCCTCTTCCATTCAGAAAATTCAAAGATACACAGGAGATAAAAGCAATAACCTGCTATATTAAAGAATGTTTTTGTAAATTACTAAGAATCCAACACAAGTCTATACTTTTCCTTATCACTGAAGGTTAAGTCCAAAGATCTTTCTGGAAGCATATTATACAATGGTTTAAAATTAGTGCATGGTTAACCTGGCTTCCTAAACTGCCTGGCTCATCTAAAATGTTTCTCATTTACTGCCTTGTTGTTCAACAGTTTACTGAGCATCTACAATACTTCATACTCTATTGTGGTAGCAGAAATACAAGTGAGTCACTAATAGCCTCTGATACTGAGGAGCTTCACAGTGGTGTTGGGAAACATGTTATACAGACCATTGCAATATAAGGTGACTGATGGAACAGTAAAAGAAGGCCTGGGTGATGTTGAGGAGCAGAATAAAGATATGAAAGAGTGCAGGAAAGAATCTGGAGGAAATGATGTTCCAGATGTGTCCTGCAGGAAGCAGCGCTTAACTGAATGGAGGAACAAGGCACCAGAAAGAATAGCAAGCACTTCAGCACAGAGACAGGAAATGTCAGGACATTTGCCATGGACGATGGCAGACATGGATGTCAAGCAACTTCAATTCTAGAGTCACAGAAGCTAGGATCTAAGGAACTGTCTGTACTGTTCTGGCCTGTGTATGGTCACATGCCACTGCAAAGTCCAACTAAAGGGATATGGATTTCAGGTCCACTTGTAACTTAAGGTGAGGAGAGGAAGCATGGGCCAGGCACTGTCGGGCCGTGAAAGGATATCTTGGTTCTTGGCTGGGTATGGGCCTTGAACCGTGACCCCCAATGGGGAAACAGCAGGTTTTCGGCCACGCCCCCAGAATCCAGGCTCCTACACAGGATCTAGACCTCCATTTAACCTGTGCCTTGCAGTCAAAGCAGCCCCTCCCAAAAGGGCGTGACTACAGGCTTCAGCCTCAAGAGATTTCCATATTAATGAGTTACCTACAGGCCAGAGGGCGTAGCTAATTAAGTGACCGTCCTCTCCTCCCCCCACCCCCATTTAAGTAAGGCCCACTCTGGCTTAAGTGGAGGGTGTACGCAGACCATCTACGTTCACCATGAACAATAAAGTCTTGGAAGCTCGGACTCCATGTGTCTTTCGGGGGCCCTTCTCTGTGTTCCAGCCACAGGGACCCGCAAGGCACAACTTCCTAAGCCTCCATTCTCCAGTGTCACCATTAGGGAAGTTTCTCCTGGGTGTCTGTGGAGCACTCTTCAGCTATAACATCATGCCCAGGGGTATTTTGGAAATTCGAGTGTAACTCAAGACCTCATCCTTGGAATGATGGACAGCCTTGGGCATGAGCTGTGCTAGATACAGAACTAGACGTCCTTGACAGTAAGGCAAAGACAGAAAGCAACCACCCTTCTCTGTCCATCCCTGTTAGCTGTGTAACTCAAGCTCTGCAGCAGAAGCAACTCATAAATAGTATAGCAGAGCCTGCCCAATGCATGTCAGTTATGCTGAATTTATGCTCAAGTATTCTAACACAGATGAATCCAGAGAGCACAGACTTTTGCTGCCTTCATTTTTCCTAATTTATGGTAAACTGTATGCATTGTACTGAGCAGTTAATGGCACACTCCAGTAAGTAAAAGGTGGCTGTTTAGTCCTGACTGTGCCATGTTCCTAGAGGCCTTTCAGCTTTTCTTGCTTGCCTCAGTAGAGTTGGAGTTGGAGTCCCAGCAGGTACAGAGGTACACTTGTCAGAGTTTAGCCTGAGTTGACCTTTATTTACCTCAGCAGGAAAAAGCCAGTGAAGAGCCAAGGTATGTAAGCTGCAAGTCCAGAGATGAAGTCACAACAGCCAGTCCTGACAGCTGGAGGGCTTCAGTCCCAGCCTACACCTCTGTCTTGCTTAAAATTTTTTGCCTTCCCAACCTTTTTTGCCAACAAAAAAGTCAAAACAGCATTTATTAACAATATTCTTCTTGAAATGTGTCCTTCCTCTGATATCAAAACTTCTTCCACAACCAAGCTGCCTAAACTGAGACTTCTTCCACCACTCCCACCCACAACAGCCCATTCCCTTGACTCAATTCCTGTAGCTATCCCACATACGATGCTCCAGAGATGTCCTTGAACTGTTGGCTAACTCAGCCTCTAAGGGGAAACAGCCACTTAGACACCTACCTACCTGAATTGATTTCTCAGCCAGTATTTTCATTCATACAGTTAACAGAAAGGTTCCCAGAACCTCTGTAGACAGAGATTGAAGGCATTTCCCAAATTTATTTAGAAGGAAAAGCCAAGTCTAAAGAAATTAATAAAAGAAGAAAAGTCCTTTCTTTTTGTTCCTAAAGAAAACCTAGCCAGAGTCAAGGAAATGGCTGGACCATCATAAGACAGGCTCACACTTTACAGCGGGAATTGTTTAATGACTAACATCATTCCCCCTAACAAGATAGTCTAATCTTCAGCTCTATATTTCAACAGGAGGGTGTTAAGCACCTGCATTGTGCTTCAGATAAAGCACAGTGTCTGAGAACATCTAAGCCATTCATACTGGATACGGAAATGACCAATAGGATTCTAGAACCAGTATTTACTCTCAACAGTGTGAGAAAAAGTAGATACAATCCTGATATAGGACATTCTAGCAGCACTCCAACTGCTTTGGAGAAATAGACAGGCCTGAGCAGGGCAGATGATCTACCTACACACCGTCAGGAGGTCAGTGATGTATCTGTATCTCTAATCCCAGCACCCAAAGCCAAGTGGATCACATCACAGCAACCTCAGAAGGAAGGTTCATAATCAAATGTATTATATGCAAACTCAGTGGTCCCAGAGCAAGGATTTCACATTTAAAAGGTAGGCTTCACCAGTCAAATGGAGGGTAAGCTAAAAATGCCAGCAGTGTAGCAAACCACTCTAAAAATAGGCACAAACATTTAAGTAAATAAATAAGTGAGCATATAGTAATATGCAGATACACTGTGCATGGCATAAGCACAAAATAATGAAAACGTTCAAACAGGTATCTCTCAGGGTTTACTGGCCTACTTTGGAACTGCTGTTTTAAAATGCTTTAAACCGTGCAAAGCCAAAGGTAGTTATCTAATTATCAAGAATAACCCTGAATTACTTTCTTTCCTTTACTACAGGAGTGGTGAACTCAGTACCCACAATAAATCCATTGAAATGTGAACAATAACTCAGAGTAATGGAAAAGCACAAAAATTCATGGAAGCTTTACATTGGGCAGTGAAAAGCAACTATGAAATGAGAACAATCCAGAAGCAGAATTGATTTTGCTCTCTTTTGATCTAAACTGTGTCCCCTATAATTGCTGTGATTTACAGGCTCAGGGCTTTAACCCATGTGTTGTTTCCAGACACAGGAAGGAACCTGGTAGTCATTAAAAAACTGTCACATAAATAGCCACTTACCAGCTCACCTGGGGAGTATAACATTGGACAAGTAGTAAAAAAAATACCAATTTTGTTTATTTTACTACCTGCAAGCTTCCTGTGGAAAGGGGCAGCTGGTAAATTTTCTAAACATTCACCCCTTAATTATCCACACCAGCAGATCAGAGAAAAGCTACAGAGAAGTCAGAATGAATCATCTATAGAAACTAATGTGCTTAGAAAAGACGATTCAGACACAGCCAGATACCTTCTCTTACATTGTATAGTGTTCACAGGCCTGACAATGGCCAAGCACTGAGGTTAGACCCCACAGGCTTTGGATTCAAGGGACTGGGGTCTGTGTACCAAGATCTGGCTTGGTAACTCATTGGTTGCAGAACCTCCAAATAGTCATTTAACTCATTCTCTACAAACTACCTTATTGGCTTCTGAAGAAGACTAAATGACATACAACGTTTGAAGTCTTCAGCACAGTACTTAGCAAATGCTTCATAGACAAGTCCTTTGTGAAACTGTGTTTTTAATCAGATACGCCCTATTGGAAATCAGAAGGAAAAAGTTGCTTTTCTCTTGACTAAAAGGTCCCTTCCCATCCAATGTTTCTAGAAAGCCAGCTAGCTGTCACAGAGTAGGAAATCTTGGCACAGTGTGACAGAGACTGGGGCGGCTGCTGACACCAACATAAGACATGGAGCTCATAGATTACCTGTGCCCAGTGGTTCTTAAACACAATCATGCATGTTTCTGGGTCAACTCCCTTCAGGCTCACAGCCTGCTGGAGTTTGCTTTCTGTTGAAACCGATGACATCATAAACTTTCGATGCTTCTAAGTCATATTTAATTTTCAAGAAAATGTCGTAAGCAGTCATTAACTCCAAGTATCATGTTAAAAATGTAATTTCTTCAGTCTTCATGGTCATTTTCCAAAACCTGTAATGACAATAACAAAAAAAAATGCATCTTATGTTCATATATTAAACAGGACACTGGCTATTAAATTTAAATAATAGGATAGACAAAATTCAACACAAATAGTAGCTATATGATAGTTAGACCATATTATTTATATTCAACCTAAAACTTCTCCTAGTCTTTCAACTTGTTACTAAAAAATTGTAAACTAAGGTGCCACTAACCTATATGCATGTATTAAACAATTATGAGGTTTCTTCTTCCCACTGAAAGCATTCACTATCCACAAGTTATTGACCCAAATCACCCAAGTTTAGTTTCTACAACTAAATAAGAAACTGTGCTATTGACCTTCACTGAAGTTTAAGAAACACAGACTAATAAGAAAACTGCAAATCAACCGTCTCAGGAAAAAATAGCTTCCTTACCCATGGGTGAGCTCCAGAGGCTACAACTCAGGGAATAAAGGGTTTGCTGGGCAAATGTGAAGACTGAGCTTCAGCTCTCAAGCCTACAGAAGAGCTTGGTTGGTGCTGTGCCTATCTATCCCAGCACTCAGGGAGCAAAGATGGGAATCCTCACTGCAAGCTAGCCAGCTAGACTAGCCACAAGAGGAGTTCCTGCTTCAACTGAGAGATCAGACCCTACATCAGTTAATAAAGTGGAGAGTGATCAAGGAAGACACATGAAGTCAACTTCCCATTTCCACATGCACACACAGGCACACACCAACACACATAGGTACACACACCAGCACACATAGGCACACACATGTGAACTAGAATAAACAACACACACACACACCATCTAGACTCCTTGGCCCAATACAGTTGAGTTTTGCTGTTTTGTTTCTCAATGATTTTAGAGTAAAATTGAAAACATTCAGCTACATGAGATCCTATATCACAAGAAGAAAAGACAAAGAAGGAAGAAAAGAAGGAAGATTGACTCTCAAACATTTTGTGGCTATAAAGAAGGTGCAGTTTTCTGGTTTTTCTAAAATATAATAGGATTCCAAGTAACCTTAACAAACCAGTTAGGAATGACCCATCAAAACCAAGATAGTATCTTATTAGCTGTTAGTAAAAAGTAGAAAATTATAAATAAAAAATGAATTGTATGGATAAAATATGAAGAAAATCTAGCTATAATACTATCATCATTGGAAAAAATTAAGGTTACAGCCTGTATCCTGAATATGTAGGGATCTCTGACAAAAGCAATAAGATTTTAGTATTATCTAGCCAGTTCATTCAGCCAAGAAAAGAACTAGGTAGAGTTCAGAATATTATTTCTTTCAGTTTAGAGATTGGAGAGAGTCCAGAAGAAAGTAATTACAATTATTGGAGCACTGAGAAAGAGACCTTGGTAAGTCCTCAGTCTTGGATCTGCATGATGGCTCAGCAGTAAAGGAGCTTGCTGCCAAGCCGGACAACCTGAGTTCAATACTCAGATCTCCACACAGTCGAAGGAGAAAAATCTGAAAATGCTGTAAATTATCTTCTGACCGCTTAACATGTGCCATGGCATGCACACGTGTGAGTATGCATGTGAGTTTGTGTGCACACAAACACAGACAGACAGACAGACAGACAGACGGATGAACAGACAGACAGATGTGAAAATAACTGCAGATGTATTCAGATTTGGAGGAGTTAGCTATTTTCAACATATTAGAAGGATGTCACAAAGGGAACAGTGATCATTTGTTCTTTTCCACCAACCACAAAAAAATGTGAGAATAGATCTGGTACTGATTCAAGTTGGATTTATGTGGAAAGTTCTTTCTGAGTGTAGAATTAAACATAAGAAAACATGAAACATTCAAAAACAAGAACTCCTATAGGTGGGAGGACAATTCAAAATGAAAGGATTTTTAAAACAGGGGTTAGTAGTAAGAATGGAGAATCTGCAAGAATAAATAATTTTGAGTATGCTTTTAAAGAAGAATGGAGGAGCAGTAGAGTAGTAGGCTATGTAGAAAGGATGGCCTATCTAAGGTCTACACATTACATGCTTGAGGAAAACAGCCTGTGAAAACTTCCACAGTCATGTTTACTGTAGATATATCTGAGTTCTCAAACCTGTATTTGTTAGTAGTACAAATGGGTGTTTTCAATGAACACTGTCTGCCAGTGGCCATGGCCCTTTGCCATAAGTAGCTGTACTGCACTGGATCCAGCTGATGTGCTAAACAGTGGGAGCAGCAACCATGTTTGCAGAGCATGGACTTCAGCTCCTGGTCTCCTCACTTAGCCTACATTACCTGGCTACTGCTTACAATGTTTAACTTTGCAGCTGTGTGCCAAGTGATAAATCTGGATTTCATGAGTTAACGTGCTCACTGTCCCAAGCATTATATGTGTCTAAGACACCACCAATACCTTTATCCAGGGGCTATAGTGATAACAAAGACAATCAAAGCACCTACTTTATCCCAGAGGTTGAAAAACTGCAAGACATCTTAAGATACTTTCTAACTCCAGGATTTAAAAGTCCTTCTTCAAAGCAAAGAAGAACATACATCCTCCTAATTGCCTCAGAGTAAAGAAAATGGAAAAGGGGGAGGAGTGCTGTTTTCTAAGGTGCTTTAATACAGTTCTCAGAGAGAACTTATATTTAGCTTCTCAGAGATGGAAGAATGCAATCCAGAGGAAAAACACCTTAGCCAAGGCTCTGAGCTTACAAGTCAGCTTTGATAGAAACACAATGCCAAGTCGCTGGTTCCCAAGCCCAAAGCATTTTCTAAGACATTACATTCTTCTTTTGGGCTACAGTACATTCCTGGCCCAACTCCCTCAAGGAATCCATCTTGTCTAGGAAAACATAGCTCTATTGGTTTATACTTTTCCAATCACACTTTTTGAGACAGGATACAGAAGCAACAACAAACAGAAAACTTCAGAGAAAAAGAAGAAATGAAACAAGTTAGATAATCTAAATTGGAGACAGAAAAATCTGTGCCAGAAGATCCTCAACACAGCCACAAAGACTGCAAACACACCAGCTGCTTCCATGGACCTCTCTTGTTCAGGTACTAGAGAATTAAATATCTGGTGTTCTCTGGGGCAATATGAAGCCGAGCAAGACAGCTCCATATTTATGAAAGCTACATCAGGACACATACTTCATTGATTGCCAGTTTCAATACATTGTCTACATTTTCCTCGGTTTTACATTATTTCCATGATTTTTCTGCATTTCTAGATCATGACCAAAGGAAACAAAGCACAGAGACAAAAGAAAATCAAAAGCTAGAAACAGGTATGTGGCCACTAACTGGAATGTGTGAGTCACAAGCATGGCAGTCATTTCTCTGTGCCCTCTGCTCTTCTCAGTCTAAGCCATGTGGCATTGAGACAGTTAGGGCGACATTTGTCATTCTTCATACAGAACCAAACACTTCCCATAAATACACATGTGCCTGGCAACTCAAATTTCATGCTTGAGAGAGCTCCGCACAATGCTCCAACATGAACAAGTGATAGTTTTCTTTCTTCAAACAAATTATTAACACACACATACACACTATCCAGAATACTGTTGGTAACAGTGCTAACAAACAGGTTTCAGGGTATAGTTGCTAAATTCTTTATTTGGAGAAGTCAAAAAATGTCAAAATACATTTATAACAGCCTAGAATTTAATCACAAAATTTTCACAATGAAACTGGAACCAACTATATCATTTCCAAAGACATTACAATTGGCTACATTCCTAACTTTAATATTATATATAGAAATGTTTTATCTCATCAATATGGAAAGAAATTTATATTAAATATTAATGGTAACAGAAATAGCAGCCATAAGAATCATGGTTTTATTGGCCATGTTTTGAATGACCATATATTTTAGTATTTGGTTATAAAAGAATAAACATATGCTCCATATTACAGAATTATACAATATGAGACATAATCATCAAAGTAGAAGTCCTAAGGGTTCCTTTTCCCTATATTCTCAGAAGCAGACCATCAAGAAGAACAAAGCATATTCACATGCATGGATAAAATGTCACAGTGAAGTCCAGTGCTTTACAAACAAGCTGAGGTTCTGCTTTTCCTGACCACACTTCGTCCCAGTGTAAAACTGCCTCTAGCTTAGGCTCACACAGCCTCACTTCCTATTCTCTGGAAAGCTACAACACTTAGGAAAGTTAGGCATGTGTCAAAAATCACATCATCAGGAAGTTCCAGTGATTATTTTTGGCATATCTCTCTCTCTCACTAGCAGAGTGAACATAAATTATAAGTGCTTTGGCATTTAGTTACATATAATCTCATACTATTCTTTGCTTCTTTTATCTTCTAAATACAATTAACTTCTCACAATGAATTATTGTAGCCATAATTTGCAACTTTTTTTTATTTTATCCTTTCAACCATATAAGGGAGAAACAAGGACAGAGGGGGAAAGGGGGACTTGTTATTAAACTACTTCCTGCTGATTAGGGGTATCGAGTTCCTTGAGGCAGGTTTGCTCTTTGCTGTGAGGATATCGTGAGGATATCTAATTTCTTCTTCTTGTTTCTTCTTTGCACATAACTACTTAACAAACCACAACCAACCAACAACACCACAGTGCACACATACGTACACGCACACTCCTCCTTCTTGAGGCCCTAGCATTTATATACCTTCTGAAAAGTCCCCAGAATTCCAAAGGCAAACAATCACAGAAGCTAGCTGCAGCTGGCAAAAGCACACTCCTACTAAAGCACAAGGCAAATCAAAGTCAGCTGCTGTGGATAATCTGAAGCAGCCCCATATCCCACACCTGGGATTGAAATGAAAACATATTCCCATAATATTTCTGTGTTTTTTCAAAGAAACCAAAATCCTCACTCTAAAAGATCAACAACAACAACAACAACAACAACAAAAAGTTAAGCAAAGGGATAGCTATCTTTAAGAAGAACAGAACCAAAAGGAGATTTTTTTAGGGGGAAACTTACCAATATTTGCAAACCTACTTAGAAGGAGTCCATGAACACGGGGAGTTTGAAGATATATGACA